TAGTATTAGTAGTAGTAGTAGTAGTAGTAGTAGTAGTAGTAGTAGTAGTAGTAGTAGTAGTAGTAGTAGTAGTAGTAGTAGTAGTAGTATCATCATTATTATTATTATTATTATTATTATTATTATTATTAATATTATTGTTTCATTATGATTTTGAAATATATTTAATAGTTGTGTTGGGAGGTGGGATATGAAGATGGGGAGCTGAGTGCGGACTTTCTTTCAGCTTCGTTGACAAACACCTTGTTTTGGGTAGATTTTCTGTAGACAGCCCCTAGTGAATCACCTTGTCTCTTCAAGATACCAATTATCTGTTTACAGGAGAGAAACTGTTTCAATAGTCTTTAATTATTTCTTGCTCAAAGCTTCTGATCATCAAAGGTTACAAACGCTGCCAGGAGCAGTTGACTTCAATCGATAATTATTGTTATCCTCTGAGGTTTCCCTTTTCATACAAGAGACAGTTAAAATGACGTGGGATATAAAATAATAAGGTTAAAAAGGAAATATTACAGATATGTGTAGCCTTTTTACCTGTGGGAAAAGCTTCAGCGAAGCCTACAGCGATGCAGAGCATCACGGCGAAAATTGACATGGTCTTCAGTAGAGATGCCATGGTGGAAGATAGCTTATTAGAGGACTAAGGGAAGTTTCTACGTCTGCTGTACTTAGGTGGTGACGTCACAGCTTGTGGTGTTCCTTGACTGCGAGTTGCGAGTGAAAACCAAAGAGGATAACTGCTTTATATACTATACATGGTTTTCTGATCTTACCTCAGTGCTAACAAATAATCCTGACTGTTTAGCGGTCCCCGCCCTAGGGTTGGTCCACAGTACGTGACTGATGTAAACAAAACGCGTTTATGGGGGCGGGAACGCCTCGACTTCAAGGCGTCATGCAATTTTCTGGAACGTTGGAGAATAAAAAAACTATAAACATATCACGGACATGTATTTACTTTTAGTGTTGGATGCTTTGACAAGAAACAAAACATCACCAAGGGACTGTTTATGTTGATGATGTTACAGATGGACGCCCTAACTGATACAATGTAGTTATTTCATAATATGGTGAACACTTGATCGATTGCCCCGACACTGGGTCGGACTTGTGTGTCCTACAACGCAAGAAAAATTATTTGGAAGCAATTCCGATCCGTATATCAAACTTGTACTTTGCAGCTGAAGCTGTAGACCGCTATAGCCCCAAACTGAAATTTTAAAAGTTAATATAAACAAGAAAAACAAAACATCACCCTCCCCCCTCCCCGA